ACAAAACTATCAAAATAGACAATATGCAAATGAACTTTGCTTCGTGAATTTTCATCTAAAATACTTTCAGTTGGTATAAACTTGAAGCTTGAAAACTCTTCTTTCGTGTTTCGAACAATTTAACATTTTCTCTGCAATGGGCTAACATTTCAGACGCGTGCGTCAGTGCCATCACTGTTAATGTCTCAAATTTGAACCGCGTAGCTGGATATGATTTCTTTATTAATTCTTAGGCTGCATTTAACATGCTCGTGGAGATATTAAACGGGATCGAAAGTTACTAGATTTTTCAAAGCCGTTATATGCCATTTAAAAGCCCGCGAGCTAGCTTTTTGGTTTCTTCTCTACAATATACTTACGTACTCAAGAGAAAGTATAGTAATGCTGCAAAAAAGAGACGATTGTTTGTCTGAAAATTGACCATTAAATGCATTTTAAATACTCTATCACTGGAGCAGATGTTGTGACAATGAAACTTAAGTTTTTTCTCTGTGACATTTAAATATACTTTTTTCAAACTGACTTGAAAAAAGCACATAGGTAAAAAAGACAAAACATATATATTTAGTTTTTATGTTAAATAGGGAAATAAATAAAAATCTTCCGCAACATTCAACAGAGATTTTCAAATTATTCAAAACTGGAAAATATTCTCTGAATTTGAGAGCTTAAATTAGGATTTCCTACTAGAAGTTAAACATGTAAAAATTAAATATAAAATGCAAAAAAAAAATGAGAAAATGATCAATTGATGTATTGAAACGAGGTTTTTTAAATAAAGTAATGTTTCGAAAATTAGGTTTTCAAATACTCGCAGGGATATCGTGCCGCTAATAACCGCATTGAAGGAAATCATTTTCTGGATGGAGATTCAGAACATAGTGCTCTCATAGACCGTTACTGTGGTTCGTGATTTTTGATCATCACAAAAAACGGTCTAAGCTCTACCACAAGATTACTCATCTTTACTTTACCACATCTACTTCGTAAACAAGAGAAAATTATTTAGTTTACAGGAAAAATGCCATTTTTTCAACGGATAAAGACGTATTGTGAGTCTCTGAAACCAAAAAACTGGATTATTTTGTCTACTGTATGCAGTAACTTACTTTCTCCTGTGGAAGTGTAATAAAAGAGGAGGAAAGCCGTGCTCGGAAGAGCTGCCGAATTCGCGATGGAGAAATCCCTGGACCAGTACAGACAATTAAATTGTGTACCGAATTAGGAAAGACTTCAGATTGAATACATCAGATTATTCAAAAAGTAATGATTCTTTGTCCAAATATCAACCAGACAAGTATCAGAATTTGTTCAAATAAGGCGGCATCTGCACACTAAAAAAGAAAGTATGAGCAAATACAAACCCAAGAAATGTTCATTGTCTTTTTTGAAGACATAGAGGTTGTCTATTATGGATGTGTACAATCCAAGCAGACCTTCAACAGTCAATTCTACGTTGAAGTGCTGAAAAGGTTGAAGCAGATGTTCAACTGCGTTAGAAGCGAGACCAAGTATTGCTGGATGCTTCACCACTACAGTGCATCCAGCAAAAACTGCGTGTCGTGAACGGCTACGTGACTCGGATCGGTGTGACATTAGTCCCTCAACCGGCCTACAATCTCGATATGGCCCCGAAGATTTCGTTTTGTTTTCCAAGTTGAAACAGTGCATAAAATTACGTCATTGGGACACAGTCGACTACATAAAAGCGACTACGACAAGGTTTATGACTAACAAGTTGAGGAATTACAAGGGACGTACACGGCATGGAAATATTGCTAGCAACAACGCAAAATGGTCATACTTCGTCAAAATGATCAAAGTCATGGTACCAATTTGTACAATAAATTAAAAATGTTCTATTACGTTTGGTACAAACCTTGTACGTGGTAAAAGTTTGACATAGGTTCAAGGGTACAAAATATTAATTGTAAAGAATCATATTACACAAAAAGCTTATGCTAATCATCATTGTACAATAAAGCAAATGAATATAAAAAAAGGATATCAGTGAAAAATGAGTTTACATGTAAAACAATTTATTTTCTTTCTTTTCAGACACGACCGTCAAGAAGAATGAAAATACCTAGGCAAATAGTTTTAACTTAAATAACTTTATTAAACTATACTTTAATACTCTTGGAATGCAATACTCTGTATACTTTACTGTTTTCTATTGTTTATATTGCGGAATTTAACAGCTAATTTCATGGGCATTATATCTTATATTCATTCTTAGATCATTTCTTCTTTAAAAATATTAAAACAATTTACAATTATGTTCTACAAATAAACCAACGATATTCATAATCAAAATTACATAGGAAGAATCGTACAAATATGAGATATTGCTGGCTTGGTTTCACATGTTGTATGTTTTAAATATGTGAACTGAATATAAATAAGTGCTTTCATTGTCTGCCAGGATGTTTGCACTGCACGTTCCCATGGAATGCGAGATTCCCTTGACGGTTTTTGAAATCGGAACGTGCAACGCTATAAATATTCATACGATCTTATTTAAACCAACACAAGCATGTCCTGGAATTAAAAATGAAATTAGAGAACACCAGAATTAATTCCTCGGTGTTTGAAAAGTGGTTTCATAAAAAATGTAATAATGAAATATACAGTCCCTGCATTTTACCGTTTAAAACGAAGTGTTTATTTTCCATAATTAATATAATCATTGCTAGAACAAAAAAATCAATATCCGAAGTGTTACACTATTTCAACAGTAAGCTCTTACACTTTACGCAAGAATGGCGTGTCATTTAAAATATTGCTATACTCTTACAATAATTATAATAGATAAGATAATTATACTAGTAAGTAATAAGTACGAAGTACATAACAATTTCATTACTCAATGGTTTCAAACGGATATATTTAGATTTATTTATGCTTTTGAACTTTTGAAGTTTTCAAAAAATTAGTAATTTTAATGGAAATGAGACCTTCATAATTCTCTTACGAATTCTTTACACGAACGAAGTTAAATTTAATAATTGGAGCTATTTTTAAGACAATTTTGGAAATGTTTCGTCTGCATGTAAAGTAACCTCAAAAATCAAATTATGTTTAACACTCCCAAAGCTTTGAGTTTGTTCAGATCGATCGGGAATACCAATTTTAGAGAAAAAAGGCTGAACAGTTTAGGCCTAGAGCTGACCACAGACGGACAGACAGACGATTTTACGTCAATCAAATTTTCGGTATTTAGAACCCAGAAAACATGGGTTCTGGCTTCATCCCGTGTTAGTAAAAGTAATTTACTATACTATACATATGTACTCCACTTTTTTGTTACCTGAGTCTGGCAGTAAGAGTTGTCTGTATGAAAAAACAACACGAACAATTTTGTTGTATGAAAGCAAAGTATGCAAAAATCCTACGAAAGTGTCTAGGGTCTCATTTGAAAATTATTCTGATGTTCGCCTCGTCCATTTCATTCTTACGCCAGACTCACTTTCTGTACCAGTTACGTAAGTAATTATTGTGCTAAAGTTGCGCTTTCTATATTGTTGATATATGTTATATGCAATGAAATATGTATTTGTTAGTTACTCATATTTGCTGTAAGATTTAATTTTTTGCTTTTTTTACTGAAAAAAGTTATACGTTGCAGGATATTTTATATATCATTAATTTATTAGTGTTTATTAAATAAGTTCCGCGGCAAAATGGCCAAAGTATTAGCTTTACAACAGGGATTCTCCACATGGTCATTTGAAAGTGGGTCAATGATGATCAAAGGATCAATTGTCGAAAATACACTGGACTAATCGGTGTAATCAACATCAAGATCCTATTGATTACAAGCAAATGCACTAACGTATTTTGTAGTTAATTACCATTAAAACATTGAATTAAAATTAAATTACAAACCAAGCAATCTTTTTGAATTTCATATTATTCCCGTAAATGAAAATCAAACTTTTGTGTAAATAGACTGATTCTGTGACTAGAAACGTGTATTTGAAAAAAATTAAACTATAATAATTGAAAAAATAAAAATCATCTAATAAACAATTTTTTTCAAACCTTTTGTTAACATTGTTTGTCGAATGATAATCGTTGTCATCTATTTGCAACTATTTGTATTGTGATTTGGTTGTAAGCTGTATATTATAGAAAAATTGAAAGGGATCGACGAAGTCAATAATTTTTTTATGTGTCGAACCAAGAAAAAGTTTGGAACCCCTGCTTTACACTTTTGCTACCAGGATGTACATAAAGGTGTATCCATGCAGAATTAGATTTACGTACTGCGGAGTCCCTAAGCCCAAAATCTTCCGGACAAAATCCAAAATTCAAAATCCAGATCTACTGAAAGATATTACTATAAATTCGGCTCTAGGACATTTGGAAGTTAGAGTAAACAATTTATTAATTCAATGGAAAAATAATCTGTACTTTATACTATACTAAACTAACATTAAAACAATATTTCTTAAACGTTGTACATGCAAATTTGAAGTTCTGTATTGCAACCGCTCGCCTAAGTATATCTCGTCCCTACAATTTTCGAATTCGCGCCACGACCCACCGCTTTATTTCAGCACAAGATAGGTAGGGAGCATTGCACGAATTCCAGTCAATGAGATTTTCACACCTGAGTGAAGCACCCAATCATAAAGGTTTAGAGCCCTTCAAAGGAATTTCCCTTAAAATAGATCACGATTCGCCCATTTTGTCCCCGGCATTTTATAGAAAAGAATATACCGGAAGCGAAAAGTTGACAATGTGATTGTTCTAGAAACTATTACAAGAAGCTTGAAAAGAGGTAACTGGAATTACTTAAACTTACTGAATTTTGCAATCTCAAATTTATAAAAGAGAATAATTAAAATTTTAACTAAACAAAGTATGTATACAACAGAATTATCTATCAGTTATACGACGTGCAGAACTTTCATTATTATAAAGAAACGAATACAGGTCGCGTTTTTTATATTTACCATTTTGTTTCAACTGAAAGCACATTAAATTGTTTTCAGACAACTGCTGGAAGAAAGAAGGATTCATCAGGAGAATCTCTCTTTCTTCCAACTCTTTTCTTCCATTCCGCTTTCTTCCATGTGCATGTGGTTCCATCGTACGCAAGCAGAAGATACCAGAAGATGCTCGTAAGTTGGATTTTATTAACTACCTCTCTTAAGAAGCCAACCGATCACCATGCAGCAGAGGAATCACAGACGTCGAGGAAAAGATGTTGTGAGTTACAGGACAGCCCAGAAGTGTCTAGATTTGCCTGATCATTTCGCAAGCTGTACGCAGAGACAGAAAGCGTAAATGTAAAAGTCGTAACTCAGAGCCTCTATTTTTAAAACTAGTACAGAAACGCGCTCTCAAGGTTGTTTTACACGAGATCATTTCAAGATAAACTCGGAGGACGTTAGCTAAAGCCAAATGTTAGGAAAACCTGTAACCTGTAATAACTGTGCATTTCTAAAAGTGAAATTTGAGTAAGGTAATGACTAGGAGTGGATTTTAATGAAATGTCATTATTTTTCTTTTCACTGTAAAACAATGCCTTTCAGTAGATAATTATTTTCAGTTGACAAAATAAAATGATTTATTTTTATCTAGTATTGATTTTTTGTATTTATTGTCTATTTCTTCTAATAAGCCATGTTTTACATTTTCCCGTCATTTTTAATACAATTTTGCTGATTTCATGGATTTTAATATCATTTTAATTGTACTTGCTTCCAATAATATTTACGGGATGCAATAATTGTTCTACACAGAATTACTCAGAAGCCTATTAGATTTATTCGCTCAGTAATTGTAATGTCAGTCGTATGTAATCTAAGGATCCTGCGACGCCTATCAGTGCCATTGTCAGTTCGACCGATTTCGGTTTAACTAAAGACTGATTTTCTGGTAAAGAACGGTCCAAACCAAAAGTTTGAAAGTTCATTTGAACGAAAGGAAGAAGCCTTGATTACATCGGTAACATATCTAACAGCTTGAGATGTTCATCCGAACTGGTTTTTATTTTTTTCGTAATTTTTCTTTCATTTTAGGGTATTTTAAAACTAGAACATTTTATTGATAAATTTGGGCGATGTTTTAGGTCATCTAAATACGCCCCTAGTAATAAATATTCTGAACAATTACCATAATCATTGTATTGATCATTCGTGGATATATGAATGTTTAATTTTTTACTGCAGAAGTTAATTTTTTGTTATGATTAAGATTCCTCTGATCTTTAGACAAAAACATTTGGAACTTTTTCGTGCGTTACTGAATTTTATATTTTTAGCGTTTATTGTACTCTATCTTGCATGTGCGTCTTGTATGTTATTTTATTTCAGCAGTCTTTGTTGCATTCATTGATTAATTCAATTCCGAAACTGTCATTGTAAAATCAGTATGTACTATACGCTTTTTCTAAAAGAATATATACTGGATTCTTGCCTAAACTGGTACGCGACTATTTTTTTCATCTTTCCTATTCGGCAGACCAATCCTTAGACCCTGGTCATAGTTTATGTGCAATGTAGACAACATTACGTGACATCTGGTAATTACTTGGAGACCACACATGAAGCATTTATTCGTGCTTGAGTCATCGGGAATTTCCTTGAGTAAATAAAACCTGATATAACAATATAGTGATTAACAATTATTTTACAGATACAATCATGCAGGATGTTTCATCTCTCTTTGCAAATACGCCGGGACCTTATCCCATATGTAATGTACGGAGAGAATTTTCCAAAATTGAACACTCTTTATCGTTTAGTTTTGTAAATAATTAACGTTTAACATTGAACTATGAGCTTGTGCTCGTGTGACACGAGCTACGGCAAGAGGCCAAGCGGCATCGCCTCGAGTTAGTACTGTCCACTTCTCTGGAAAACTTAATTGCTAATGCTACCCGAGAAGCCTCGGAGACGAGCACAATGCAAATAGCGCGCGAGGTCAAGGCATCAGTCCCTCGAATGGCGAACAATTAATGCGAAGAGATAAAGACTTTTTCATTTCCAGTGGGTGCTGCACTGGCGCAGTAGACTTATAACGTCGTTTTCAATTCTCCTGCGCAAATGCAAAGAAAACTAGGAATGTCGTTCTTTGGTCCGGTGATACATGTTTTACAAGAACTGACTCAATGAATGCGCACAATTTGCATGTGAGGGCCGAGAAAATCCGCATGTTGCACGTAGTGTAAGCTTATCAAGGGTGGTTTTCTGCAAATGTGTCGTTTGGCATTTTGGATGAATTTATCCTCGGTCCTTACTCCTTTTCCGAGCGTTTAAGAGACATTCAGTATCTGAATTTGTATAATTAAAGTACTTTCAAAGCTTTCGGAACTGGGGGTTAATGAAAGACCTCGTTTATGCTTCCGAAGTAGAGAATCGTGATAACCTTCTTCGGCGCATTCAAAGCGTGGCTGCTTGAAGATACAACCCGGCGAAGTTGTGCGCGTCAGACAAACTGCGCGGCGCAGAAGCCTATCTGGCGTTCACGCAAGAAGAGGCCATTTTGAACTCTTGTAGAGACCCTGCTACATGAGCTGAAAATGCGAAATTTGGGCTGTAGAACAAATATGATCTTTCTGAATAACACTTCCTACTACCCCACAAAACTATCCTAAATAACACTTAAATACTATATTTTTCTCTTTCATATTCGTTAGAAAAGTAGGCAGTAATAGCAACAGGGAACAATATTTAATGTAATATTTGGGCTACATTTTTAAAAAATATTATAAAGGGCCAAAAAGGCTTTTTTAAATATTGTGAATAGAGTATACACTACATACTTTTGCACTCATGAAAACCTGTATTTTAATTATTTTTTTTCGAATATTTGGTAAAATATATCGGGAGGGCTAGACGTTTTCTCATTTCTCCTGCTCCTCATTCCACTATTGCTCCATTATTATTCATGTCATATCAAAATCATATGTTTATTAAATTACTGATCCATCCGGGCATAGCGGTAGAGAATAGGTACACGAAACATAATAAAATATTAATTGCAGTAGTTTAGAAATTACATTATGTATTCATACACATGTGAGCGTGATTGTTAGTGCGAGTATTTGTGCGTGTATATTTTGTCGGATTAAAAACGGGCTATTTAAACATTTTTCAATGTGTCACCATTCTCACAGTTATACATCAGCGCAGCTGCATTTAAGTTTGAAATAGATTTAAAATGGACATTTTCCTCCTAAATCGCACTAACAATGATGATGCACAACAGGTTTATTGCAATTTTAACTCTACTCTTTATAGAAACTTATTTTTCATCGAAATTACATGCAGAATTTTTAGATTAATGCTTTATTTGATGTATTTTGTTCTTGTAAAATATGCCATCAAAAGTTAGTGTAGCACCTCAAGTTAGATAAAAAACGTATAAAAAGTTCCTGTTGTCGTTACCACGGATATTGCTTTTCCGTAAGCGCGCTTTGTCGCCCATTTCAGACGTCTATCCGTCGACAGGTCTCTTCTAAATGGCGTTGATGCTGACGATTTTAGGTAATGGGGTGAGCAATGAGAATGACGATGGAGAAGGGAGTGAAATAAGACGCAGCAAAAAAAGAAGAGAGAATTTGAGAAAACCTACGATGAAACCGTATGTGCTATTATAAATGCCACATAATTAGCAGAATTGGAACACATGTACTAGTCAAACAAAGTGAGGAAAGCTACGGCCGGAAGGCTACGGCTCCCCCTGGAGTCTCGAAGTGTAGCGAGGGGATTTATGGTCAAGGGAGAAAATATGAACGTGTCCACAGTGCGCCAGTAATGCTGGATAAGTTTCAGTACTGCGACATTTTTTTTACTTATCGCTTATCATCTTCTAAGGTCATACAACTAACACTGTAATTAGCGTTGGATTTGTAACTTAGAATAATGATGGCGGAACTCGCAAACAGACACACAAAAAACATTTATGCCGCCTGCGGGATTCGAACCCCAGATCCTTGAAGGCAGCTGCAGCACTTCTGCCTTACCGAATTCGGCTATTCAGAACAGCATTACTGCGGCATTACTCTCTCTCTCTCTGTCTCTCTCTGTCTCCCTCTGTCTCTCTCTCTGTCTCTCTGTCTCTGTCTCTGTCTCTCTGTCTCTCTGTCTCTGTCTCTGTCTCTCTGTCTCTGTCTCTCTCTCTGTCTCTCTCTGTCTCTCTCTGTCTCTCTCTCTGTCTCTCTCTCTGTCTCTCTCTCTCTCTCTCTCTGTCTCTGTCTGTCTCTGTCTGTCTCTCTCTCTGTCTGTCTCTGTCTGTCTCTGTCTGTCTGTCTGTCTCTCTCTCTTTCTCATCACAAGCTGACATGTGTACTAACCAAAACATGATTGTTCACTGAAAGTAATGAGTGTCACACCTTTGTTTTAGTTGAATAAGTATACTCACCAAACAACTACACTAGCAGGATTCGGTTAATAGAGTTAAATGAATTGACTTTTGTTTAAATTAGATAAGACTTACACACACGCACCAATAAAGTTGTAAATTCCAAATATTGTTTAAATGAAAACCCATACACACTTACCTAGTGGTCGTGCAACACATTCTTTCTCGTACTAGTAACGGTTACATATTATAATATAGCAGTGACTGTCCAATTTAACACATCTCGGCAATCACTTGTCAAACTCATTACCAATCGTAGCAGATTATGTGTGAAACTAATTCGTTTACAAATAATACATCAACACAAATTCGTCAATCCAATACTGCCTTCTATAACCCAGAAACATTGTCCAACGTTGAGAAGTTATTCTGAGAATTTCAAACTGCCTTGGTGCGTCATTGTCATTGTTGTATTGCGACACAACTCGTGACTTCCTTCGGCAAAAGGAGCGCGAGAATCTTAAATTTGAATTTTTTAGATTCAAATAAAATTGCTAGAAACTGCTCGTATTTCGCAGCCCCTAGTCCTAAACCGCTCAGAAGATTTTCTCAAAAATTGATCTTCCCTATCAATCTGGACGAGCTCAATGTCCTGGGAGTTTGAAACGTAAATTTTTATTTTGGAAGCACTTTACATGAAGTCTTAAACGTATTTTAAAATTTTAGTAAAAAATTGCTTCAAAATATTTAAACAAGTGTAGTATATCATTGACGCTAAAACGACGTCAATAACGCTAAGACAACTACTGGGATTCGCATACGGACATACAAACATTTATATCCTGGGTGGGATTCGAACCCGCAACCCTTCAGGCTTGTAGCAGCTACGGACATTCTGCCTTGGCGACCTCGGATTCCGGGCCGGCAAACTACACCTTTA